TGTTTATGTTGTATTATTTTTGCTCTAAATAGCAGAACATCAATGAAAGATAATGAATTGCACCTCTTCAAAAGAGGGAACTCTGGGTGTTTCTCCTTTTCTTCCGAGTGTTCTCTCTCCACTCTACTCTTTTTCGAAAGATACAAAATGGTATCAAAGCCAATGGAAAAAAAAGGCTGTAGATGAAAATGGAAAAGAAAGAAAACTCAGCAACTAGCAGAAAAGCTCAGGAAATCCCCAAGAATTTGTTTAAGCAGCAAATCTAAGCAAGATGAAGCCACAGCAATATAGGAGGAGCTGACATGCTAGGGAAGATGGCCTTGGCATAAAAAACAAAAGCATATGGGGACGGTAATTGGTAGATTTTAAATGTTATGATAAATTTCTTATTTCCTGCAGCTTTGACAACAAGGATTTCTCTTGTTATGAAATATAATAATATTGATTTACAATTGAAATTAATTTTTAATTAATGAATATTAAAGTCATTTCAAACAAAAATTAATCTGTTATAAACTAATATTTAACTTTTATATCAATTAAAATTTTTTGAAATAAATATAATGGAGCAGTTCATCAAATCTTTATTAATTTCCTTTATCTTTGCATCTATAATTATTACTATCATGTGTTTCTTTTTTGAAAAATAATTGGTATATTCTCCAGTGTAATACACTTGCTAATATACTCATTAAGAAATTATTATTTTTAAAATTTAAATTTAAAACAAAAAAAAAAACTTAAAGCAATAAATTTAAGTCAAAACTTAAGAGTCATAATTTTTTAGCATTATTTCACTGGCACCTTTTTACTTTCATACATTACTCATATTTCTCATTAGTTTTTCTTGTGATACCATATCTTAATTTACCCTCTCACTTTTTCTCACTCTAAATTATATGCACCCTCATTTTCCCTTTCTATATTAATAATTTATTATTATTATTATCTCTCTTCTTATCCTCATTTAATACCATTCTTACTTAGTCACCCTTTGTATCATCATCTATCATTATAGGAAAGAGCGTTTCACAAGTTGTTTTCCCAACAATTTTTTGGACATATTTAAAAATTTATTTTTAAATTAATATTTTGAAAAATCAATTATTGGATTGAAAGTTCTATTTATATAAATTATATATATCAATTTTAGATCATGTTAATAAACTTGACCACTTCACTGATTACATGATATTTAATGTCATTAAATATATGTCAATAAATAGAGTTTCTTTTATTAAAGGCTTATGAGTATTAGATTA